ATGGTTGGGAGGATAATAGGGTAGATTGATTTTTTATGAGCATTTATTACTTACTAGAACGCACAACGAAAAATTTACATATTAAACATAGAACGCACAACGAACGCATAAAATACGCATAATGAACTCGTAAAATACGCATTACGAACGCATACCGTACGCATAACGCACGCATGATACACGCACACATAAGCAGTAAATTTTATTCATAAAATTCTATTAAATATTTTAATTAATATATATCTTTGTTTGTAAGTTACTTACATTAAAATGATGAAGAAATAAGGAATATGAATATATGATGTTTATGGCTCTTGTTAGATTTGTATGATTTCATTTTCTAATCTTGAACATGATACTTGAACAAGTACAAATGGTTTATGGCTCTTGTTGGATTGTATTTAGGGAAGAGGAATAAGGAATATGATGTTTGTTTGGAAGTTTGTGTTTGGCAATTTCGTTCAAAGATTAGTGTTTGAATTTCTTATTTGTTTTAAAGCAAAAAATAATAATTTTATAAATGATTTTGAAATGTTTTTTACATAGTACGCACAACGAACGCATAAAATACGCATAACATACGCTTAAGGCACGCACAACAAACGCATAAATTACGCATTTAGTACGCATAAAACACGCACACATTCTATTAAATATTTTTGATTACTTACATTTAGTATGGAGTATGGACTGAGGGGCCGTGACATGAATAATAATTTTCGTTAGCTGTGGACTGACGGGTGGCAAATATGGTTGAGAGGATAATAGGGTAGGTTGAATTTTTATGAGCCTTTATTTACAATTTATTACTTACTATTGCTCAACATTAAATTTTTCACTATATAATGCAGGAACGTTTGCCTTATGGCAAAGTGTCAAAGCAAGCTTCTCTTGTAAAAAATCTTACCTTCTGTTGTCCAATATAAATAATCTTTGACAACCAAGCTTTCCATTCATTACTACGATATTTATCCTCCTCCCATGAAATTGATGCCAATAACTTGTAAACTTAAACCTCTCTAACCTGACCAGGTTTCTGTTAACAAGTTATTGGCATCAGGAACATGGGAGGAGGATAAGTATCGCAGTGATGGAGGGAAGGCTTGGTTGTCAAGGTGATTTATATTGGACAACAGAAGGTAATGCAAGTTATAAATGTTGTTGTCAAGGTGACTATGTATAAAATGTTGTTGTCTTGTTGAAGATGTACATTAGGGTCTCTTGTAAAATTGTATTTGTTATAAATGTTCTTTTAATTTGTTCTTATATTTTTTATATTGTACATAGTCATTAAATGTTCTTTTTTTTGTATTTAAAGATGTACATTAAATGTTCTTTTTTCTCTTTGACTTTATCTTTCATTAAAAATACGCAATGTTGACGCAGAGACCACGCACAAAAAACGTATGGTGAACGCATAGTTTACCAATATATAACGCATAAGATACGCATAATGTACGCACAATAAAATAATTAACACTCCTGGTACTCAAACAATACCTAGAAAATCATGTTTTATTAACTACTAATACAAAATCATACATTAAATTACATCTGCTCCAAAACACGCAATGTGCACGTAGGGTGTACGCACAAAATACGCATAAATACGCATAGAGTACGCAGTGTTCTGCTTTATCGACGGCTCGACATTATATAATACTGAACACATCCAGCCCGCATATTAAACCCTAAACTTATTTGCTTGGAGGTTTCTTCTACTGCGAGACTGCGAGTTGGGTTGCTGTCTTCTCCGTCCGACCAGCGTACGCTTCTGTCCGAGCCTCCGAGGCTGCTGTCTCCTCCGACCTGCATCAGGTCATATAAAAGATTAGTAAGAACTCGTTTGCTTCCTAAAATTTCTCTCAATCAGGATGGTCAAAAATAAGGATAAGGCTGCATCAGGTCATAGAAAAGATCCAGCATGGAAATATAGCACTCAGGTGGATGTAGGAGGAAGTGATAAAACATATGTCTATCTGAAATGCAATTACTGTGATAAAGTTGTGAAAGGTGGTGTGACTAGGATGAAGGAACACCTTTCAGGCTCTCACAAGAATGTTGCTCCATGCTCCAAAGTTCCTGATGCTGTAAGGGAAGAGATAAAGTCATACATGAATAAGTCTATCACATCAAAACATCTTGCACAGAAGCAATTTGAGGATAGAGTTGATGCTGGATCTTACTACGGGAGTGAGCGCAGCGTCAGGGATTCATCTTCTTCTATGAAGCCCATTTCATCTAGGGGTGCTAGAGGGCCTATGGATCATTATATGGTTGACACATCAGAGGATAGGCCTTCTACTACACAGAAGATGGCCCCAGAAAATGCAAGAGAGGCGCGGAGAGAGTGTGTAAGGATATAGGCAGATTCTTCTACGAAAATGCAATTTCATTTAATGTTGCAACATCACCTGCTTATTACAACATGATTCGTTCAGTTGGAGCATTTGGGAGAGGGTTCAAACCTCCAACCATGTATGATTTAAGAACATGGATTTTGAAGGAGTTGGAAAGCACTGATAAAAGCATTGAAGAAATTAAGAAGACTTGGGCCCAAACAGGAGTAACAATTATGTCAGATGGGTGGTCTGATATCAAACATAGAAGTCTGATCAACATCCTCATTAATAATCCTTATGGTACTGTGTTTTTAAGGTCAATTGAAGCATCTGACCAGGTCAAAGATGCTGAGTTCATATTTAGATTATTAGATAGCATTGTTGAAGAGATTGGAGAACATTTGGTTGTACAAATTGTGACAGATAATGCAAGTTCTTATAAGGCTGCAGGTAATAAACTTATGGAGAAGAGGAAACATTTGTATTGGACTCCATGTGCTGCACATTGCATAGATCTGATTCTTGAGAAGCTTGGGGATCTACCTCAACATAAAAATGCACTCACTAAAGCCAAAAAAATAACCAAGTTTATTTACAACCACTCTTGGATTCTAGCTCTTATGAGAAAGTTTTCGAAGAAAGAAATTCTAAGGCCAGCCGCAACAAGATTTGCCACCGCATACTTGACCTTAGAGAGCATGCTGGATGCCAGACAACCTTTAGAGGCTATGTTCACATCTACACAGTGGTTGAGTTGTGCTTGGGCGAAGAAGGCTGAGGGAAAAGAGATTAGAAAGATTGTTTTAAATGACAGATTTTGGCAAAGTGTCTTATATGCCATTACAACCACTAGACCTTTGGTTCATGTTTTAAGGATGGTGGATGCTGAGAAGAAGCCTGCAATGGGTTTCATCTACAATGCTATGGATGAAGCCAAAGAGATGATTGCCTCCAACTTAGGAGGCAGTGAGGGAAGCTTTAGGGAAATTTGGAATATTATTGATGATAGGTGGGAACTACAGCTTCACCGACACTTGCATGCCGCTGGCTACTACCTAAACCCTCAGTATCAATATGCAGAGAACAAGTCTACAAACCCTGAAATAAAGTTGGGATTATATCATTGCATGGATCGTCTAATAAGTGATGCAACTGAAAGATCAAATGCTGACTTGCAATTGGTACCTTTTAGGAACAAAGAAGGTTTTTTTGGATTACAATAAGCAAAAGATACAATTGCCAAACGATCTCCAGTTGAGTGGTGGATTCAATTTGGTGATGAGACTCCAGAATTACAGCGTTTTGCTGTGAAAGTTTTGGGCTTGACATGCTCTTCATCTGGCTGTGAAAGGAATTGGAGTACCTACAACCAAGTGCATACAAAGAGGAGAAATCGCTTGTCGACATTGAGGATGAACTCACTGGTGTACATTATGTACAATAGGAGACTCAGAGATAGAAATTTGAAGAAAAAAGGATTAATGGATGATGAAGATCCTTTGCTTTGCAATGATGTGGCATCTGATGATGAGTGATTTGTAGATGATGAAGTTGAAGTGATGCCGTCTGAATTACAAGGTGAAGATTTAAATGTTGATTTCTTTGATAGTCTTAAAACATCCACATCCACCATAACTCGAGAACAAATCAAAAAAGGTATATAAATAATATAGTTTTTTTCTTAGACTTTTATTAATGTATTACACTATTATTCATTATGATATTGTTTAAAAATATTTAGGGAAAATGAAGATAACTAATAATGTAGAAGAAGCTGATTGGGAGATATTGGACTCTATAGGAGAGGGGGAAGAGGAGAGAGCAGTTCATCATAATGATGATTCAAATGAAGACCCCTTTTGTGATAACTGATGAGTGATGACAGTGCTGATGACTGATGAGTGATGACAGTGCTGATGACTTGTGAGGTCTTTTGTGATATGTTTCCCTTATTTATTCTCAAAGATTTTGTAAGTAGCATTTTTATGTTTTATATATTATTAACTCATTAGTATATACAAAATTTATTATTTTATGTTTACGCAATTTGTTGATTTTGAGGCTTACGCCTCAAATCGCCTTGAGGCTTACGCTTCGTCTCACGAACGAAAAACGCTTTAATACCCGAATACACAATTTTAAACATTGATTAGGACATCAAATTATTTTAAATTTTCATAAAAAATATTATCAAATATGGTAGCTATATCTATCAAGCAATTTCACAAGAAGCATGCAAGTTGACAAATATTGGATTCAATTGTTAGATCACTCAATGCATACCATATTTATACAGGCAGAAATGACCTATTAATCATTTATCATATAATGTCTTTTTTACCTAGTCGGCATGCTTTAACACATGATCTAGAGGAACATTTTTACCTACTTAATGGAGTTTAGTGACCCTAAGAGAGTTGTTACTCTGAATCCATTAACTAGGTTAGCCAATAATATCAACACGAGGGTACTGCATCCATCACACACAAAATACGACTAAAAGCTTTTTTTTTTTAATTTCAGTAGATTCTAATATTAGAATGAGTCATTACATCACATGCTTCATTTCAAGATTGTAATTATTATGCAACAAATTATCAATGTAAAGCTAGATGCACATCTCATGACTTAACAACATGACCATAAAGCTTCAATGAATGTGTAAGACAAGTTTGAATATGATAGGCATGACTAACATTCTATTAAATACTCGAGAAACCTGCAACAAGCATCAAGGATATTTCTCCTTAGAAATAATGGTAGGCTTATCACTTTAATAAATACAAATTACTTACCTTAATATATAGAAGCGAGTTCAATGCTCCTCTAGCTCCAAAAAAACATAATACCAGACTAATACGATCCAAAAAAACCTAAATTTAAATAGAATTTTAAATTAATTACACATGTATAAACACAAGTTGAACTAGTTTAAACTAGTAATGCCAAATAAACATAATCTCAAAAGGCTAAACTCTAAACATATTCAATCCTGACTTACCAAATAACCTAAATTAATCCCTACAATAGATTAACAAGTTGTTGGTTATAGTATTAGTAAAGATAGCATTCCCACTACTAGATTGATATAAAGTAAATCAATGAAAACTAATTGAGGGGAAAAAAAGAGTATGGTAGGTTGTAGAAGTTCAAAAGGAAGATTTAACCAATGTGATGTTCAACCTTGAAATTTATGTGGGCAAATACAACAATGTATTGATAGAAAGAGGGTAGCAATGACTACATGTTGGAGGCAGTGTGGGAAGGAATAGAACACCTGGGAAGAAGAGAAGGTTAGCATACTCTCGGGCAACAAATGGGGATGGAAGGAATATAATTTGTTTATTATATAATTTCATAACAAAAGATTTAAGAGGAAATTGCAAATACTTGAGACCCTATACCCATTGCCTACATACCATCTCCCAAAGAGATCAAATTATATGTAGTTCGAGCAATTATTATTTGCTTACATTGAAGGACAAAAAAGCTATAGATGTGTACGTCCTTGCGGTCAAAGTATGCATCAATATAACTCTACAGAAATGTTATAAATGTAATGATCGTGCAATGACCAATCAACATCTAAAACTAGGGAATCTCTCATGTGGGATGGAAGGAAGAACTCATAATAATTATGCGACTCATGGAGGTAAGGAAGAAGTTAGGATTGGAGCTTTATAATCGTGATTGGGGGAAGAAAACTTGCACTTGAGATAATTTGGAGGAAAAGAATATATAGTTAAATCCCCTAGCTATGGGTGGGTGTTAATTTGGGTTCATGGATCATATTCAAGCATATCTAAAAAATGACACAAATATATCTAATATGAACTGACTCATTTATTAAACTGGTTCCCAACCTGAACTTGACTTGACACACCACGAAAATCATTTAATTTGTGATGGTTTAGTGTCATGTCAACTCAACCCAAATTGAACATGCTAACTCTATTTGGACAAGAAAATGCTTAAAATAATAAAAGATACAATTTATATGGGGTTTTCATTAAAAATTGAATTCAATAGCTAAGTAATTTTTTTTGTGGGTTGACCTGTCCTCGGCCCAATACAACTTGAATCCATCATTATTTATGAGTTATTTACGCAAACCCAAACCTGAATTGACATGTCTTGAACCCACCATATTTTTTTGAGTCATTTATGTTAACCCAACTCGACTCGAATATTATCCTTGTTGACCCAAACCCGAATTTTTTTGTTGGATTCAAAGTTAGTTTTGTGTCGGGTCTAATATTGACACTCTATTTATGTTTAAGGAAGGATGTGCCATCCCCCATTTTCACCCCTTCTATGCAATCATGAGGTATAACAAAAGCAGACAATATGGGCAGATAAAATTCTCACTACATTTATTCTGATTTAACTCATCAGGATCAGATGAGAGAAAATAGTCTTTTGTTATCGTCTAAATGTTTTACATAGCACTTAACATCATTTAAGTAACCATTAGAAGTATTTAATTGGAAGCGTTCATAAATAAAATCATAAAATCAATTATATTTAGTTTCGTGAAGTAGATGTCTGTTTATTATATTAGTTACGAATCATTAGTACAAATGAGCAAATCAGGAATAGCAAGCAAGAATGTTACATAATCATGAAATTACTAATGAATTACTCATTTTCATTTTATTACTTATTCTTGATTATTAATACTTTTGACATACCATATCATATTCATTTTTTAATATCATACTATATTCATTTTTAATATCATATCAAATTCATTATGATTGTCATAACATATTTATCTTTAATGCCATTTCATGCTTATTATAGGTTTTAGCCCCTTTGCGTTAACTTTCCCTGACAAAAGTTGTGTTAAACAACTCTCCATTATCAAGAGATTGGAATTTCTTTTTTATTGTCTTGATAAATGCTCGGTTAACCAAATCTTCAGCATCGAGAATTAAGAATTCCTTTTCATTCATCTTTTTCTGATAAATGTTAGGCTAACCAACTGTCAATTATTAGGAATCACCTCTTCTTGCCTAGGTCATCAAAGTCAACCATCTTAATTCACATGATGTGACTTTTCATAGGATTCTTAAATTTCATTCTCATTATTTATAAGAATGATAAATGTGTAAACTTAAATATTATGATATATTCGATTATTATATTAGAAGTTAAGTACCTCACCTAAAAATTTGGGTCTTCTCCTCAGTGGATGTTCTTATTTTTTCATCTCCAAAGCTTTCATCTTTTCCTAATAACCCAAAATAATAATTTCTTCAACCTGTAATATTTTTCAAATTCAATAATTTAATCTGAGTAGGATATAGTATTTTAACCTTAATTTACTACAATTTGAAAATCAACCCGAATCTTAAGAATAAGAAAAATTTCTGACAAAATTTTGTCTAATTTCTTCTTCTTTTCCTTCGCTTCTTTTTCTTTAATTCCTTCTTCTTTGTCATTTTTTTTCTTTGGTTTTACCAATTGCAGCCACTTCTCTAGCCAGTTAGCCCTTACAATTCACAAGTAGGAAGAAAATTGAAAAGAATTTGGTTGGGTTTTAACACACACACACACACATATATATATATATATATATATATATATATATATATATATATATTCTTTCAATTTTCCTTTTGGATTCTACCGCCAACCCCTCCCTTTATTGCCAAAGTTTTGTCAACCGCCAAAGTACTGCTACAATATTTTTTGTTATAAGATTGTATATGACGTTAGCTAAATCCAATATTCATAGGATCATTTGAGATTATTGAATAAATTTGCAAAGTTGCTTACATGTTAGCATTACCCGCTAATTTATCAGGTTTACATAATGTCTTTGTATGTATCTCATTGCTGAGAAAATAGTTTTCCATTGAAAGTCAGAGATTCTCACATGAAGAAATTGAAGTGCAAAAAGATCTTACATATGCTAAAGAACATGAAAAATATTGAAATATAATATTAAAAAATTGATAAACAAACAAATTTCGAATGTCTAAGATAAAATGTAGAAATATAGTAGAAAAGAAACAAATTGGAAAAGAAGCATGAAATAAAACAAAGATTTTCCTATTTATATTTTGTAAATGGAGATGAAAGGAATTTCATTGATGAAATTCCTAAAGGAGGGGGGATTTATAACAAAATAATTATTGGAGTAGAATTAATGTAGCAGTACTGTAGCAAGCGAATGATCCTAATCTTTCTCCCTAGAGCGGTAATAGCAGAGACGGTGATTCAGTTGACAAAGTTTTGACATTGAAGGAAGGAGTTGGCTATGAAATTTAAATTTTTAGTTATATATAAGTAAAAATCCAATTAAATTCTTATCAATTTCTTTCTACTTTGTGACTTTATTTATTTATTTTTTCTTTCTACTTTTGAGTTGTGAGGACTATTGTGAGAGATTTTC